TGGCGTTACTGCATGGAGTGTACAGACCAACGAAAACACACCTCATATCGACGACAGCACAGAAACGGGAATGACAGAGAGAGACAAGAGCAAGCAAATATATAACGCAGGCCCAGAGGAAGGCAAAAGCACAGTGAGATCCTTCCTCTAAAGGATGTAGGGCCAGCGCAGGAATACAAGACGACGTCGCTCGTGTGGTACGTTGTCTGTACAAGGATGGTCGTCCAATATACAGGTCCACATATGCTTCGTAAACAGGTCTCTTCAGACCGATCGTTGTATAGTCGATAGATGTTTATATTTAACATAAAAGCTTTTGAAACTGCGAACAACTTATAACGGAACTTGTTTATACAATTTGTAGTAATATCATATTCCGCTTAGTAAATTCATGATTGGTGCTGCATATCGCCGCAATTCTCACTAATTGAGATATATAACGCATCAAATACGAAGACCCGCGGAATGTTGCTGCTCATAAAAGGAAATTAACAATACGGACGTTGGCAAACTATCTCTCTTATCATAGCCGGGTGGTGGTGCATTATCATCTTTTATTTATAATGCACATACAGTAAGAAACAATACCATATTTCGTTGTCTTCAACACAAGTCTCAGATGCTCATGTTAATCACATTCTCAAAAGAGGGTTATTAAAGTGAGTAGATGTCGATGTACGAAAGGTGTTAGAAAATCTCGTTTAGATATACTACTTATCAGCCTTCTCATATATACGGACATCAATCGTGAATAATATAAATTGCAATGAAGGTGCACCATCCGTGCCCATAGGTATATATGCACTGATGAAACACCCTATAACGTACTGACACATATATATTGTCAATAAGATAGTAGACATATCTATTACTGAGCTTTACTGATATTAATTTCATACTTATTGCGGTACTCCAGAACATTTACCTCTCTTAGTTATCGATAAATAATTGCTCTCTCACCTTAAGGCATCTCCTATTCTAATTATTTCATACTGTCTTCAGAATTATGTGGTATGCTTGTAATACAAATGTGATAAAGTCAAAAGGTGTAATGGTTCTGCGGAAGTATCGTTGATTGGTATGCATTGATGTAGATGAGGGGCTTAAAAGTGTGAGGACAATGTGAAGGAGCGCAAGAAATGCAGTTTTTGTAGAACTATGTTTATTGAGGGAAATAGTAAGTCTTAGATGTAACACAATGCAGTCAAATCCAAAACTGAGGAGCTGTCTGAGAGGGCAACACCTGTGCATTACTTGAATGCCAACCCAGCAGTGAGTACAAAAGTGAAAAATATATATAGTGATACCCTTATGAGCCATATTCAATGGGATTCATGCAGTCACCATGTGGACATAAGCCCTCATTGTGGTCCATACACCAGTCATGATTCAACTGGAAGAGACTTAGCTCCTCCATACACAATATATTAGATGATTTTAATGAGGACATTTTTCATCAGCAAAACACTGCAATTTTGAAGGTTATGTCCACTTTCAGTTTCAAACAGCTAGTGCAGTACCCAACAACAGCTCAAGGCACACTGATAGACCATGTGTACTATAGGAATACATCTGGCAGTAACATATTTTCAATAGTTCAAGTGCAAGACACCTACTATTCCGATCATGACACTGTGCTTCAGCATTCCATTGAGAGCATCATAATATCAGCATTTTGTTCCTCTGCATATTTTTAGCCAAATTTCTGTCAAAAGCATATCAGAGCCTAAGCCTCTTTTCACACCCTCATACTGCCTATGTTACTACTTAAGTCAAACAAACCAATAAGAAACCCATAGAAACTTACGAGACCTATGAGACTTCATGAGACCAAGAGTACATAAGAGAGAGTATGGAACTGCGTATACCTGCATACAAACACTGTGTACAAAGTAACGTGACACGCACGTGATGAAACTTTGTAAAACAACACGTAATTTAAGCGATGACATTTACTAGTTGATTACGGGTTGTTTTACAAAGTTTCATCACGTGCATGTCACGTTACTTTGTACACAGTGTTTGTATGCAGGTATACGCAGTTCCATACTCTCTCTCTGTCATGTACTCTTGATGAGACCAATGAGGAGTCCATTCTTCAATCCATCTAGCAGTGCCATAGCTCAAGTCCTAGATTCTGATCATGACACAGTTTAGTGCACTATTCCATTCAGATATTTTAGCCCTCCAGAACTACAGCATTATAAGTAGTACCTACCCAATACCATGTAGCAATGCCTAAGAACCCATGAAACCCCAGCATTCATACCGAGTTTCGACTCACTGTGGCTATGCCACTCAGAAAACAAAAAACCTGCAATACCCAAAGAACTAATATTTCGACATTTTCTCATACCTACTTTATGAATCTTTGCTACTACTACAGTGGTAAAAATGGCATCCAAACCAACAAAGACGCAAATTGAACTGAAGAAGTTGAGTCTTTGGAGGAACAGTCATACAATGCCAAGCTCTTCATGCACCCCTAGTTCCCACTCCCCCTATCTCCGTAAAAAAGGCACAGGAAATCGCACTACTTCGACCCCCAGAACTGTAACCGGATCGAAAACCAACACCCTTTTCGCTCAACCAAGGTCCAACACAAAGCCCCAAAATTCAAATGTTATGGATACATTAAACACCGCCCAAATTCTTCTAGATGATTGGCTAGATAGCCCAAGAAATGGAAACATGTTGCAAGAGTCCTAATGCCGCCCACACATCCCTCTTCTAAGAAAATTTGTAAACAGATTTGTTTATTTGGAAGAAAAAACTATTCTTTGAATCAAAAAAATAATGAAAGGTGTCATTTGAATATAAAGGCTAAACGTTAAATAGTACCAAGCACAGTGCCACCTGAAAAAAAAATACAATAAGTTAATAATTGCCGATTCTAGACAAACATTCCCCAAATGCACTTATGGGCAAGATGATAGTGGAACTTGGCATTCCCCAGGATCTTCTACACCTATCCATTAACGCAACCCACTTTGGATCAACAGTTAATTTAACTTTGCAACGATGCTGAAGCATGCTCAAAGGATGGACCTGTCAGATTTAAGAGTACATGTGCCCCGAGCAAGCTCTAAGCTAAACGACCCCGGAAACAGGCAATGGTTTCCCTTTACTGCTTATGGAACACTGTCTAAGGCTAACAAAGAAGTGAACAATCTCTGAATATATATTCTGAATCCCAACATGTTTTCACCTCAAATAAACACACAGTGACAATGTGTTACCACAAGTGAACCATGATAAAAAAACATTGAAAATATCATCTTGAACTTGTGAAACCAAATCTCAGTTTTCTTCCTATTATGTTGTTTGTTCTATAATAATATATTATGCTTCTGACACCTAAAAATCCTCATTTCATGCGGGATATTGTGATTCAGTGTGTGTGAGGGAGCGCGCTACACCAACTGGCAGTGGTTTTTTTATCCTCAGCAGACACTATATATACGGTACCAGTCAAAAAATGCACCGTAGTTGATGTACAATCTCCAACAAAACTTAAACACGTGTGTGATATGGTAGGTAGTCAGTGCTTGCATAAGTTTGGCCTCCTTTTACGACCTGGTACACATGTGTGCGCTGGTTGTTGGTGGTTGGTTTAACCACTGTAGTCACAGTACGTACAATCCTTGCTGTAGTGTGCTACATAAGTGCATCTTTCTCTAACCTGTAGTACGTTGTAGAGCTACACCTGTCTGTACCTTGTATGCAGTACCGTACATGGTAATACATCGTACGTACGTAGTACAGTCACATATGGTAGTAGATTTTTGTTCTCACTGTAGTTGATCTGTAACTACACACCTGTAGAAAGGTCTTGAAACAGTCAGGAAATAGTAATACTTCCCTTTTCATTGCCGTACATTGTGCTGTTGTGTAGATACTGGTTTCACCCACAAAACCTGAAATACGAGTGCATTTTTTTGACTGGTACCGTATGTGCAGGTGATAGGCTGCGAAATGTGAGGTGAGCTCTGGTTGCATGCATAATGGACGTTCACATCGTTAGGTGCAGGGTTCAGCGCCCACTTATATATACACAAGCAGGTTTGACACAGTTAGAAGTTTAACACGCAGACTATATCAGTCACAACCTGGGTCAGCACTGGATTACTCAACCCAGGGTATAATAGGAGGCATCAACCAAGCGATGGTGTGATAAGTGGGCATGCTAAATCACCCACATGTATATATCGTGACCGTCACCCTCGGATGCGTGACTAATGGACACGTGACAAGCACATGATGGGACACTCCTGGTGACAGGTGGAGCAGTGAGGCAGTGAGTGGTGTAGCGAGACCAGTTCTGGCTCTCTGACTGAGTGACCAAGGTAAGAGAAACACTTAGAGATGTGGCCAGGGGATCGACTCAGCTGAGCCCTCAAAAATTGTCATACCTCCTTTATTATACATCACAATTGTAAAGGCGCCAACATCACTGGAGTCCCTGCCATTTTACTGTTCTGATGATATGCCTGACTGCATTCTAAACCTTATCAGTCAAAAGTTAGCTATATGTCCCACAACAAAAGTATCCCTAAATAAAGGATGTGGTACCTGTATCAACATATAAAAAACACTTGCTGGGCTCAGGTGAACGCAAATAGACTAAAGTGCTATATGCTGGGCAGGGAAGGATTTCAGAAGGTCAGTCATTTTTCATAGGAATAGTGTAAGGACAATAGCAATCCTCTGATTAACCAATCAGATTTCAGAACACACAATAAAGCAAGGCTTTAAAAAATGTCTATAGAGTAACACAGACATCTACGTAATATGTTGCCTTGTTCACCACCTACACACAAAACTCTGAGTGACTTTTGACCCCCAGTTTTAAAGGGTCAGAGGTTTATCTTTTGGAATGCAGAAGAGAGAATAGAGGTTCTCTAACTGCCTGCAGTTCTCATACCTTGTTCTGGTAGTTGATGACAGCTCCAGCTGATATCAGTTTCTCCACAATCTCTGTGTGACCTTTTCCAGCAGCTACCCCCAGAGGAGATGTGAGAGAATCAACCTTCACAAAGAAAAAGTCAGTCCAACAGGAATCATTGTGAGTAAACCAGTCACGCACAAAGAGTATTGTTAAATGACTTTTGGATATACAAATTCAACATTTTACATAAGAAAGGTAAGAATTTTAAGAAAGCTACTTTTGGCACTGTTCACCCTCCATAGTCGACTTAAAAGAACATTATTTAGCAAGCTAACGCTAGAGTTACTGGCACACACAGAAACCTTGTAAAATGTCAGTTTGGTGCATGTGTGAATTATTGCATGTGTGAGTTTAGAATTACGTTGGACATCACAATAGGGTGGCAACATTGCTGTATACATTACATATAGAAGTGCGGGCAATTCAGGTAACTAGGTAGGATCACTTTGCTTACAAACACAGTGAAGGACATTAATCATTGAGGAGGGGAAAATCAGAGACTAATGTATTGCTCATTGCAGCAACAGACGTACATATGTAGGTACAAGGAAATTGGTGTTACGTGTCAGTTATGTATTTGCTATAGAGTGAACCATCAGAGTAGGCACAAGACAAAAAGAAACAACGATTATTTTGATGAGCTTGTGTAGCATTAACTTCAAAAGGATAATTATTGTTCACATGTTTTGGTTCGTACACCTTCTTCAGTGAACTGCACAACCAAGATGATTACAGACTTTAAAGGAAGCTATGGCTAAGGGCTGTGGCCAGAAAGGAACAACAGTTTACGTGCTGACAGCCTGAGTTGATGGTTCTGAGGTTGAGGTTTATTGTGTGGCGTGTAGTGCTGGCTCCAACATGTCACTCAGGTTAAAGTTAACGCTATGCAAGCTGATCAACATAATTTTTTTATTAGTATCGTAGCAATGAGTCTCTATAGAATTACCAAGAGAAATGTATTAAAAGAACATTATTTAGCAGGCTAACGCTAGAATTACTGGCACACATAGAAACCTTGTAAAATTTCAGTTCGGTGCATGTGTGAATTATGGCATGTGTGAGTTTAGAATTACGTTGGACATCTCTTGACAATGCCCCACACACAACCTCAATTCTCTTTGCAAGGGATGGGGCGTGTTGCTGTCGACGGAGTCTAGGTCACTTACAATACTATCCTTAATATCCTGGCTCCCCTTACAACTCACTCACTTTACAGAGGGAGACTGGGTACAACACTACCTCTCCCCCGTGCTCTGTGTGTCCACGACCTAAATCCCACTGCCATGTACTTTCTGACACAAAAGATGACTGTTGAAATTTGCCCCTAGGTATATGTGCTGGCATCATCTGTACATGGAAGACCTTCCCTAACTGCACAGAGGGACATACTGCTGTGTCTGCTGTGAGAGAGAGGGACATGTACTGCTCTTTCCATTCAGACAGAGAGGTAGCGAGCACAAAATGTTGGGAGAGATGCCGTGGACCCCAAAGAGCCAAACTTTACTTTACATTCTTGCATACATCTTACTGTACATGTGTGTTGTCAGTGTGCAAGCTGAATGCCAAGTTTTTGTGATTTTAGAGCATCTTATTCTTGCCCGGAGAAGTAAAATTACTCTCGTCTAAGCCATAAAGGTTTTTCCCTAAGCGTTTACCAAAAAAAACGATCCTTATAAAATTTGTATAGGTCCTTCAAAAAGACGGTGCCGGCCGTAGCGAACGCAGCTTGGCTTGGATCCAGACTCATCCCCATTAAAATCTGCACAGTACACATGACGATGGATGTGTTCTCTTGGCTAGGGTGACGCCATTGCTCTAGCAGCAGTAAGCAGAAAGAAAACAAAGAGTGAGCGAATATGTATGAGATGCACAGGAAGTGCAGTACTCACACCTACAGAACTACTTCTGCTGGAAATATAAAAATTACGTGTATAATACATTTCTGGTTCTGTTGGCGACCTGACCAATACTGAAAGGCAACACAGGAGCCCATATTCACCTTTCATGGAACATCTGATGCTTCCATGGTGAATGATACTGCAGAGTCTAGTCAAGACATCTCCTTGTAACGAGTGTTTACTTGCTATTGTACCATAACAGTTGTGTCTAATTGGAGTTAGCCATCTGTAGCGGTAAATCTGTTGGTATCACTTTTAGTCCCACACTCCAGACCAAGTAAAAAAAACTTTGACTTAAAAAAATGGTGAACATAGGGATGGTAGAAAAAGCAAGGAGACAAGACAGGGATGACCTAGTGAATGTGATGCAGTAGGACAATGGATGATGGCTACATACTTCTAACTGACATCGCTTGCTCATGTAAAATTTCCTCCACACAAGCCCTATATTGTCGCGAAGTATGAGTGTGCTCCTTTGTATGATGCACAGCTATGATTTATTTCATAAGGACATTAGACAGGTAATGCCCTCTCCTCGGCATTCATTTGTGACTGCATTGTGTGAAGTCTAAGACTTCTACATTCGCTCAACTAACCAGTTTTACAATGCTGCGTTCTTAGCCATCTACAGAATCCCTTCACCATTGTCCTCACACTTTACACCATTTACTAATGTCAGTGAGTAAAGGTGGCGACATAATAGGGCATGTGTACGCATGTGTCACTCGTGGCCCCCGTGTTGCACATTGTGGGGTAACAGAGAGAAGGAGATACATACACACACTCCAGACATAGTACAATAACCCTCTCTGTCCATGTGCACAAAGGGTTAATTAAACTCACTGTCAGGTCAGATTAACATTTGCTCCATTCTTCAACAGAACATCAACTGTCTGCTTGTGTCCATTCTGACAGGCCACATAGAGTGGAGTAGCACCATTCTGAGTATAGGAGAAAGTGTGACAGAGAGATATACAGGAGAAAGTCAAATGTGACATAATTGTGCAGAGAGATATCAAGAGAGAGCAGTCATACAAACCCTCATACAAGAGAAATACAAGCACGTACATAACAGGACAGAATTATGTTCTGTTCTCCCTCCTGTTCTTAGTGGCTTTCTGTTGCAATGCAAGTCCTGTACTTGAGCACCTAGCACCACAGACCCACACATAGTGGCTGGAACACACAGTGCATATTGTAAAGTCTTAGTGCACAAGGAGGATTGATAACGATCGAGGTTAGGTAATACACAAGAGGTAGACTAGTGCATTACATTGTTTACCAATCCATCCGAATGCACTAATTAGAACCGCATAAGTTTAGGTTATACTGCGCGTCAATAGAAATACGTGATTAAGACGGCCGAGGGGCCCTGAGCTGTAGCTGTCTGAGTGCAGCGTAGACGCTATTAAGGGCTCCGTAAATTCTGTATTTCCATTGATGCAAAGTAAAAGCGACTTAGTCAACAAGCACGTACATAACAGGACAAAATATCGTTTGGTTGTCCCTCCATTTTGTCCTGTTTCTAACAGATTATGGTTGTTGCCATGCAAGTCCCGTACCTACGTAGCACCACACACTCACACATATTGGAAATCATTGCTGGAATTATGTGTTAATAGAAAAAAAATTGTTTAGGGTCCAACCAGATGGGTATAACATTGCCAAGACCAGCCATGGCATCACTAAACAGCAGTAGTACATCCAAAGTGAAAACCAGTGTGTACATAGGAATGCCAAAAATGATATCTGTACAATGAGGCATTACATACCACAGTCAACTACCCACCACCATTTTTACTTCACAGACCCACATTAACAACATTACTCTATGCTCATGGTACATAGAAATGCCAAGTAATGATCTGTGGTGAATAAGGGCACACACACCACAGTCAAATTCCCATCTCTTACCACACACCATTATCACTTCACAGACCACATTAAAAACATTACTCTATATTCATGGTGCATCAGTCTGGTAAAAAAATCACTTACGAGCATGGAACATAATTGTTAAATTTCTATTCAATTTCGTCTACATAAAACATTACAGTATGTGAGACAGTGACCTTCTCATCGTTGTTGGATACATACATTCATGAGAATTTAGACGACTAAGTACAGGTGTGCTTGGCTCACCAACAACTGCACAGAGTTCATCACAGACACAGTCACTAAATAAATGTATGTACACATTATGTTGGTTTGCTTGCTTTGCTCTCACATGCAGTCAGAGGTATGCCATAGAAATGTATGGAGAGAGTCTGTTCAGGGGTTTGCAGACTTTAGTGCTGCACATAACTTGATGTGGAATGGAGCAAGCAATGCAATGGTGCTTGAATAATACAAGTAAATAAAAATTCTTGGAATAAAAATGGTGAATATGGGGAAAAAACAAGGAGACAAGACAGAGTGTATGTGATGCAGTAGTACAATGGATGATGGCTACATACATCAAACTGACATTGCTCGCTCATGTATATTTTCCTCCACACAAGCCCTATATTGTCGCCACTTTTACTCACAACATGAAAACTGAACAGCTCACGCTATATACAAAGAAAGAAAAGAGAAAGAAAACAGGACTTCAGAAGGGCTACAATAAACATACATAATAACCATAAGGGCTTACTTGGGACTTGCAAAAACACGTGAGCTGATGCACGATGGCGGTGAAATGACTACAACAGACGGTACGGACACAGGCGGTATATATAAAAGTTATCAAAAGGTATCAAAATAATCTGAGACATATAAAAGGTTAAAAAAACATCCATAGGAACACGGCAGCACAAAAATAATAGGTAAACAGTAGTGTAGGGCAGTACCATTAGACAGGTCAGCTAGCAAGACCTATAGGCATAGAAGGGTGATCTGGCCTTGAGAACCAGGGATGGTGGGTTAGAGTCTTTTATCACCGGTGAACTCTCCCCACTCACCCACGCCTTTCTCACAGTGGTACTGCCCACGGAGTAGTACAATCAACGAAAACACACCTCAATATTGACGACAGCACAGAAACGGAATGACAGAGAGAGACCAAGAGCAAGCAATATATAACGCAGGCCAACAGGAAGCAAAGCACAGTGAGATCCTTCTTCTAAACAAAGGAATGTAGGGCCAGCCAGAATTTACAAACGATGTTGCCGTGTGGTTACGTGTCTGTACAAGGATGGTCGTCCAATATACAGGCCACATATGCCTTCATAAACATGTCTCTTCAGACCGACGTTGTATCATTAGATGTTTATATTTAACATAAAACCTTTTGAAACTGCGAACCAACTTATAACGGAAACCTTGTTTTATCAATTTTGTAATAAATTCATCATTGGTGCTGCATATTCGCCCAATTCTCACTAATTGAGATATATAAACGCCATACGAAGGCCCGCGGGAATGTTGCTGCTCATAAAAGGAAAATAACAATACGGAAGTTGAAACTATCTCTCTTATCATAGACGGTGGTGGTGCATTATCCATCTTTTATTATAATGCCAACATACAAGTAAGAAACCATACCACTATTCTCGTTGTCTTCAACACAAGCTCAGATGCATATGTCTCATTTATCACCTTCTCAAAAGAGGGGTTATTTAAAGTGAGTAGATCGGTGTTAGAAAATCCTCTCGCTTTAGACATATTACTACTTATCAGCCTTCTCATATATACGTACTCAAAGTGAAATACATATAAATTTGCCAATGAAGGTGCACCATCCGTGCCCATAGGTATATGCACTTAAATAAGCAGAAATTGATGTATAACATATTAGCGCCTAGTATTATAGCCATATATAAATTCTTATGCACTTATGGAGGCTCTGTGCATATATACATATATGTAAATGGCGCCCAAAGGGTTTTAACTCCCGTATTTTGTAGATACAAGACTCTATAAATCTCTCTAACAATACTCTTTAAAGTGTGTTTGTAGTTGTTAAAAATCTTGTCAACAACCCCGATAATTGCTTGGTTAAACATTTGTTTGACGCTGCAATAAACCTACTCCCATATGGGTTTTATGCAGCTTGGGTATAGCCAATACATCGTGGGCAACTGTTCCATTACAGGTGGTACATATATGTTCCAACGTTGCATATCCAACAGATGCTTCCTTACAAGTTGGTCGTACTTGTAATTACTGGCAATATACGTGGATGGTTGGCTAAAGTGTGAGGACAATGGTGAATGGAGAGCCAAGAATGCAGCATTGTAAAACTAGTTACTTGAGGGAACATGTAAGTCTTAGACTGCACACAATGCAGTCACAACCAAAACTGAGGAGCTGTCAGAGAGGGCAACACCTGCGCATTACTTGCTCAGGAAATATGAGGAGCACACTCATGCTTCGCAACAATATAGGGTTGTATTGCTGTATCACAGATTTTTAATTCAGTTATTGACCTGCAACTTTACTGCAGGTTTGCAAAAGGCTACAGTCAAAACTAGTCACTTGAGCCCACTTTCACATCTTGATGTTGGTGTAATTATCATTTATGATGGTATATGTGGCTTTTATTACCCTTTGCTAGGTCATTGCTAAGTTTATTCTAGTACAATAAATCCACTACACCACCTAAGTGGGTACTAAGGTGACAAATATCCCAGTGGTTAGGGTGTATATCTGAGGAATGGTGTGAATATCTACTGTGGGTAGGGTTGGAAATCATAGCTAAAAATATAGCAAAATCATGGCAAAATGCAGAAACCAGGTAATTTTAGGTTGATTACATAGCTCAAAATGCATGAGAAATCAAGTGATTTTAACTAGTGTAAAAATTTAAGGACACTCGACATTTCTGGGACGCATGTGTCTAAGAATACCAGTTAAAATCATATAGATCGTTTTAGGAGGGTATTTGGTACCGTCTTACTTCAGCAACAAAAAATGTCAGCCATTTACTGAGGATATCAGGGTCAGTGAGAACTAGTACATCCCACGGTAATAGATTCTCGGATTCCTCTGCGAAGCATGCATTTCGCCTTTCGTGCCACGATAGGAAAGTAGAGAGCGCCAACTGAGTGCCTTTTTCGGTATTCTTTGGTACAAACTTCTTGCTGAGAGCCTCGCTTTTGGCAGAATCCACAAACTGAAACCGCTCAACAGGTTTTATCCTTTCCTTTTAGAGAGAGAGAGAGAGAAAGCTACACTTTTGGTTTCAGTCGCATGTCCGTTGCTACTTTGCATTCACGGATTTGCTGACACTCTGGCATTGATTGGTTCATCGTCAAGCGGCGACAAGTAGTTGTTTCAGCCCAAACGAAAAGCCTCCGCCATAACTACCCCCAACCAATCAACGGTAATAAACATTATATCACACATTTTGTCGTGGTGTTGCGGTTTATATACATGATAGTTTTGCTTCAATCTACTAGCATGTTGCCATCCGACGACAACCTTTGTAAACTCCTATCTACAATGGCCTGTGTGTGTCCTCCCTTCTTTAAAGCCCTCTCTTAATATTTTCATTCACTTTGCAAGTCGTGTTTAGCTCTGAGATGTGTTTTGTGTTTCTGAGAACCTGTATTCTACAATGGGCAGTCTCACTGTGTGGGTCAGTGGGGAGAGTTCATCGGTGGTAAAAAGACTCTTTTATCCCACCATCCCTGGTACTCAAGGCCAGGGCACCCACTAGGCCTTCTCTAAAGTGATGCTGCCCTACATTTTTTACTTTGTATATGAGAGTGCTGCATTCATTACAATTTTTACTCTTTCATACATCCAACACCCTTTCATTCACAGTCCTTCCATCATTTTGATATTACCTACCGTGAGCTGTTCAGTTTACATGTGTGTTTGCATCCAATCACAATTATAGCAAGATGATCAACATCCACAGAACTACACATCACATTCCTCTCTACACCAGAGGCATATAAGAGTATATGTAATAAGATTATACAGAACCCAGTGGAACTAGCAGGTGTTCCAAAGTTACACTGGCAGACAGAAAACGTCGTACCTTGTCCTGGTAGTTGACGACAGCTCCAGCTGATATCAGTTTCTCCACAATCTCTGTGTGACCTTTTCCAGCAGCTACCTCCAGAGGAGATGAGAGAGAACCAACCTTTCATGGAGAAATGGATAGAAAACAGTTGAAGAGCAGAAGATACAGAGAGTGAACAATAACTACCACTCTTATTCATTGCACTTCAAATTAGTTCATGTGTACACGAGTTATGTCCTATGGTTGATAGTTTTGAAATATTTCATGAAACTCAATCCTTTATTCTAACCACCATCAAAATCCCGCAAGATGTTAACGCAGACCTAGAATAGAACAGAACAGAGAAAACCATACTTTTGTTTTCAGAGTCGAACCCAGGCCTAGTGACCAGTAACCCAGTCACTAGACGTATTTCGCTTTTTTGACTATCACAAAGGGCTAACCAGAGCAACAGAATGTCATCCAACTGCTGCCAGGTATGCCCACTTGTTATAATGAGGAAAGAGCATAATTATCACCCATCAGGGGTTCTGACTACACAGAAGCTGCTTTTATGTTATTAAGTCAAGAATACTGTATAGATGAGTAATAATGGACTAAGAGAGTGACACAAATATTATTACTAGTAAGGAGCTAGTACAACCAAATATTACTACCAAAACACTTACTGTCAGTGTGAGATTCACATTGGCTCCATTCTTCAACAGAATGTCAACTATTAGCTTGTGCCCACCTTGACAGGCAACATAGAGTGGAGTAAAACCATCCTGGACAGGAAGGGGAAAACGACAGAATGTAGCCCAGGCAGAGGTTATAGCTCCCCATGACTATGTACATGTGTGCAGACTGAAGTACTGCTAAATCTCTACAAAACGGTAGCTAAGAGCTTCGTGGGCCAGTCTCTCCCAGAATCAACTCTTGTGAGTATAGACTTCAAATTGTGACAGCAGTTTCTAATGCCTTCAGCTAAACATGATAGCCTACGGTAACTATTCTGAAGAATGGCACCAGCTTAACAAGCTGGCTGGTGGCTGGATTATTAAGAAGAGGTTATGTAGGCTAAAATAGTCTATATAATATTATAAAACTGTCTAGTGAGCAAGTTACTGAGGTATGACTGTCTATAAATGTGTGACGGGCCATCACAAATATGATGTTTATTTTAGCACTGTGTTTATAATGTGACCAGAAGTTTCTCCCACATATCATACTATGGAGCGGTGAGCGAGCATAGCCCCAGAAAACAATTGAGCAAAACAGAGAGAAGACTGCAATTTGTTACCATTGAGCACTGTAAAAAGTAGCAATGTAACTTTATTAACCCTCGGCGCGCATGCCCAGCGAGGGTTACAGTACCTGTAGTTTCGTATGTCTATCCTACCGTCCGTCTGTCTGTCTGTTACTACGTTTTCTGCTACCACACGCAACGAGACAACAAAGTAACGATACTAACAGCTTCATTGCTACACTGGCTTGATATTAAAAATGGTGATTTTCGTAAAAGTACTGCGCTCGAAAGTTATGGCATGAAAAGCAAGTGAACAAGTAATTTACCTCGACCAGATCAACTTGCCCCTGTATACCTTGGGGGAACATAAAAGTCACAGCGAAGGACTTGTATCGAGTCATGCACGCTATCTACTAGTGTAGCAAGCCCGTGTCAGACTCTCCGTGAGCTAGTAGTGGGAAACAACGAGTAATCATAGCCCAAGCCCATCATTAGCAGCACCGTGCATGGGCAGTGCGCCGATGGTTTTGCACTTCAGTGCTTTTTCATTACCTTATGTGGTAGGTTTAGGTCAGCATTAGCCTCTACCAGAAGACGGACGATGTCAATGTGACCATTCCTTGCAGCATAGTACACGACAGTTCTTCCATCCTAGGTTAAAAAAGAAAAATCAGGTCATTATGCTGACATCAGGAAAAGCACATACAATAACACAAGGCATAGCAAGAGGGCAATTCAATTGACCATGATCCAAAAATACTAGGCCGAAGTAGAAATTTTCCTATGTAACATTTTCCCCAGACAATAAAGCTATAAACTCCATAACACATAAAACAAAAAGAGAGAGAAAAACAACCTTATCTTGAGAATTAACGTCGGTGTGACCAGTGAGCTCTCTCTTGACAGCATCAATATTCCCAGTCTTAGCAGCTCTCAACAAAGCAGCCTTTCCTTCCTATTAGCCATGATAACACAAATAGTAATGAAATTAATAAACATATTAAAACTCACCAAAACCCACTTTTTCAGATGTGAAGCAACAACCAGATTCTGTTTCGTATGAGAACATTCAAGTCTGTCCTCAGCCACTAAGGTGGCGTAGTGGAACCCAGTAGCTTCCAGATCACAACTCGGACAGCTAAAGGCTACAACTGGAGTTGTTGCCTGTCCATAGCGATACAGTTTCAATACTTCAGTCATTGTTGACTCAATTGCAATACGAACATCGGAACATGTCTCCCTCGAAACACTTGCAGCATTCCTGACAGAGAGACTGAGGTGCTTTGCAGAACAGGAAATCTTGAAACTCACTGCAGGAGAACCAACTGTAAACTCAACACTGTTGCGATGAAAGGTGTCGTAGTTTATCTTCCATGGGGTTTTGGTGTTCATTTTTTGCTGTACTATTGCGGTTATTGTGGCTCTACCGAGACCAATAGGGAGCACAAACCCTTCCATCGTGAAGTAAACAGAGTTCTTCCCAACACCATTGACCTCTCTATTCATTGGCAGCATACAGGTGAGATAGTACATGGGATGTTGGGCAGTTGAGTTTGGATGACGACACATCACTAGCAGGTCAAGTGCTATCTCGATGAGACGATCTCTTGTTATTGACTTGAAGTTCAGGACTACATCATTGATATCTTCATCGTCGACAACTGCTCTCCCAGAGAGAGGCTTCAAGAAGGCCCTTCTCATCAGGTGGGAGAGAGCATTGATCAGTACTTGAGGTTTGATGATAACCACATCGCGGAGGTGTTCAGTTTCATATAACCTTATGGCTCCGACTTTATTGTGAAGGAATTTGAGACACGGTTTGAATGACTGTTGCTCGACTCCACACTGCCGAGCTATTTCCTGGCACTGACTCAGTGAAATCATTGGTCGTGTCTCAGACACGTTCTGCAGGACTACTCCTGTGAACAGCCACGAGGTGGGGGCCTTCACTCTCAAATGACTGCCATACACCAGGCCTTGGGTTGCCCTGCGAATCACAGCAAAGTCCTCGTCATTCTCCAGAGAAGAGAAGTTGTCCACAGCAAAGACGATGCTGTCAGCACTGCAACGCTGGACAATGTTGGCTTTATACTGTGGAGTGTGTCGGATCAGTTCAATCAGGTCTCTGTTGACGGCCTCTATTCTCTGAGGGGACACCTGGTCCTTGTGTGTGCCAATGAAGAAAACACACGAACGATTCTGGAACTCTCCATCTCCAGACACGTCCTGTGAGTCTTTCTTGGAGCCCCGTACACCAGAACTGTGAACTGGCACACTTATCAGAGACTGACACAGCATCTCACCTACAGTATGTGGTGATTCGTATGTGATCGGGTCACCATCAACAGATGGGAGGTACTCCAGAGGCTGAATGGAGTGAAGGTCGTGCACCAGATTGAAGATGATGTAGACTGTGTTGCTCTCTGCAATCAGTAGAGCCAACAGCTCCTGGTACTCGGGCTGGCCTCCTGTGTCTCTGCACAGTACATACGAGGCACTGTCTATCTTCCTGCTGAGTTGTGTTTGTTTCATACTGATTAATGCTTTATTCATTACATTGGAGGCTGAGGGTAATTGCCCCTCTACGTTGCCAGACTCTTCAATGTGTGTGGAAGCTGGCACATTTTGCGGCTGATCTTGCTCGCTCTGTTGCGTAGGTTGCTGTCCTTCTGTGTTTGGCAAGACTGAGTCAGTGCCTGTGGTAATGGACTGCTCTACAGCTTCATTTTTCACCTGAGCCAATTTACTCTGCTGAAGATCCGGCTGCCCGTCTGGTTTGGGTGAAGCTGGTTTTTTATTCTGCTGTTCAGGTACTGCAGTGCTAGAGAAATCTTGAGGTGATTCTTGTATGAAGAGATGTCCGTGCTGAGTTACCAATGCAACAAATCCCTCCATTTCCTCCTCGGCTTGAATCCTCCTCCAGGCAAGTTCTGAGACGTGCAGAACAAAGCCACAGCTTCCCCTAATGTCCAGTCTCACACTTCCTTCAGAACTGGTGATGTCAGTACTTGGAAGAAGTCTCTCTGGAATAATGCCCTGCAAGCGTTTCCAAAACGAACTCTTTCCCAGAACGAGGGATTCCAGTGAATACAATCTGCATCATGTTTAGTTCTGCCTCTCGCTCAGAGCCTAATGTGACAAAATTGAGCCTTGTCATCAGTAGCTAATTAGTCTGTCAGATAAATATGACTATTAGTAGTCCACCAAGAAACACGCTACAAAGACACCCTGTAGTAAAGCAATGTGCGCCATATTACAACTACGATGAGCTGTAGCCCCACCCAGCAGATAATGACAATTACAAAGCAGGTCAGGTAGATTTTTGCTTCGGTGTCGACTCTGGGACATTCAGTTCACCGCTACTTACTGCTGCGACGTGCCTCTAATGAACGAGAGGGCTAATCTCGGACAAAACTACCTGATGACTGCTCACGTGGCACTCGGAGGCATATCGTAGGGCAAGGGGTTGCAGTTTGGGTGGGGGCAGGAAGGACTGGAACTAGACCAGTCTTGCAGTTGTTACACAGGCGTGCTCCTCAGTTGGGTGAAGTGTGGACTCAAACACATCGCTTTGTTGGTGAAAATGTGCACTCTCCCCAATCCAGACTGTTACGTAACTTGGAACACTCTTACTCATTGTTATGCAGTCACCATTGCGCCTTTGTACACCACAAACATGACACTCTATCTCTGTGTCTCTAG